ACTTTAAAGTAGCACAAACTAAATGCATATTCATACTTTTATTTATTAATAAAAAAAATAATTGGCATGAATGAAAAATTGTTTCAGTTTGCTAAATTTACTTAATATTTTTATTATAAATATTTAATATCGATATAATATCACAATGATATCGTTGCGTGATATCGTATTGCGTAATGATTTTTCGAAAATACTACGATTTTGGCTACGATTCACTGGATGCTATAAATGCTTTGAAGATGCTGCATTCTCTTTGATTGGTCAATTAGTAACATTTTTTCTTCTGATTGGTTAATCAAATGCTTCAAAGTATTTATAGTGCTAAGTAGATTGCATCCATCAGGCTATAGACATTGAAATAATTACAAGATATTCAACTTTTTTATTTGATGAAAAATGTTTACATATTGATAATAAATAAATATTGAAATTCCTGTAATCATTAAGACATTTAATGACAATCATTAATAAAGTCACTTAAAAAGAGAACAAATATTATTAAATAAGCTGCCAAAATTCTTGATAAAAAGAGTTACTGAAATAATTGCGTGATTGTTATTAAAAAACAAGTAAATATATGTAGGACATAAAATAAAAAATCCTAGACAGCACACAATATTTATAAAATATTGTGTGCTGTCTAGGATTTTTTATTTTATGTCCTACATATATTTATTTGTTTTTTAAAAACGTCAATAACAATCACGCAATCATTATTTCAATAACTATTTTATCAAGAATTTTAAATTTATAAGATTTATTTTAAAATATTTTGAAAATATTTTGACGATTTTAGATTGCACACAGATCATAAACATTTATTATAGATATTATAAAATATTCATTGAAATATGTAGTAAAAATACTATGAAAAGTATAAAATATTTATATAACATTTCAAAAAATGAATAGTAATAATGTTTATGATAAATATTTATCATAAATATTTTGTGCTGTCTGGAGCAATTGTATTGTATATCACGAGATTTATCTTGCCTAATATAAATTGCTCGACAAATACTTATATCATTTTTCAAATGAACAAACATGTCTCGGAAAACCATGATTTGGCTCGCACGTATATCGGATGATGTACAACGTCATATCGTAAATCGAGAAGATTCGTTACGAAAAAGCTTGTTCGATTGGCTCATGTCCAGATGACCTTGCTGGTCGATTGGCTGAGTTGTGAAGGCTCGTCGTATCGCACTGTTTTTCTTTAACAGAAATTGGCTCGCTATCTGCGACACCGTTATTTGTAAAGCCGCATCATTCACGGATTAAGCATCCGTCTTTTAATGAAAATTGAATTGGATTTCCTAGTACACAATTACGTGATGTATCTTTCGAATTGTCGATATTGATATATATAATTCGATATTATGACAGAAATTTCAATATTTATTTGTAAACATTTTTCACCAAATAAAAAAGTTGAAGATCTTGTAATTATTCTACGATATTTTATTTTGAGAATAATACGATTAAAATTAAATAATTGCAAAATAATATAATAATAATAATAATGATATAATAATAAAAATGTTAAAACATGTATTAATACACTGAGAAAAAATATAGTTAATTTTAATAAATATTTAGTTCATACTGCCAATTAAACAGTTTACTTACAGTAAGTAAATATTTGTTCAATAAAAAAAATGATTGTTAAATCAAATTAACATTTCTTGTATCAAATAAATATATCTTTATATTTAATA